TGGTGAAGGTGCAATGTGGTGAGGATACAGTGTGAGGAGGTACTGTATAGGTAGGAACGGGGAGGAGGAGTGTGCCATCGTAAGTTCGGGGCGGGGTGAGGCGGGGAGGGGCGAGGCGGGGCGAGGTCGGACAGTGGCCACTACCTCGCTACATGGTCTAGTGTTTGTTGCACACACTCGCCAAATTACTGCTAATTCATCTCTTTTTTTTTTCCCCGACCCACCCATCCACCCACCCGTCTCTCTCTCTCTCTCTCTCCACTCATCAATCGATATAGACTAATTATATAATCAATTGCGTATAATCAACATAACTATTCAATACATTTACTTATTACTATTGTTATTTTTTGGTTTCTTAATCACTATGATACCATTCAATCCAAAAGTACACAATAACAAGTAAATAACAATAATCTTAACTTAAATTACCGTTATTACTTCTTGTTTAAGTTGATTATATTATGTATAATCTTGTATCTATTTTTATTTCATTTCTTACATTTTGTTTATTATTTATTTTACATCCATTAATTACAGTCGTATATATATATGTTTCTTTATCTTATTTATTTATATATATTTTCACTAAAAATCATCAAGTCAAATCACTAACAGTTAACGAGTCCACTGCAGAACAAGAGTTTACATACACACGCAGTAGACAGTAGCCTCCGTTAAGTAACATCAAGATTCGCGACGTTTTTGGTTGTTAGCGTCTTGGTTGTGTATGCAAGGTTGATATGCAACGTGTGCAGTTCCCCCTCCCTCCTCACTCCTGAGTCTTGATCGATCTCGACAGAGGGCCTCGCTACGCTGCTTTGCCGTTTGTTTGTGTTCAATTTTTTTTTTCCATGTTTACATTTTATGGCCAACTGATCTATATATTCCGTGTTACCCATGACTCAATGTGTACGGGTCGGCTAGAAGGCTTTGTTTTTGTCGTGGATCGAGTCTTGAAGCCACCACGTCACTCGTTTGAACGGAGGAAAAAAGTGCAATTGCAGTTGGAATGAACGAATAATTCAGAGCAACATTAAAAACAAAAAGGGGAAAATCCTCCGACTCTTGTCACCGCAGGTTGCTCCCCTCACCCTACCCTCACTCATTCACCTGAGGTCCCCTTTCTCTCTCTCTCTCTCTCTCTCTCTCTCTCTCTCGTTCTCCTTTTCTTCTCTCTTCTCTCTCTCTTGTTCGCATTCTCTCTCTCCTCTTTTTCTTCTCTCTCTCCTCTGTCTTTTCTATATCTCTATCTTTGTAAAAGTCTGGACCAAATAAATTTCTCTCTCTCTCTCTCTCTCTATCATTCTCGTCCACCCTTCCATGTCGGGTCCTCTCCCCTTTCCCTCTCTACCATTAATCTCTCCCCTATCTTCAACATTAACTCCTTCCATCCTTCAAACATGAATATTTTCCTCCCTTCTGCTCTATGTATACTCATCCCTATCCCCCACCCACCCACCCTAGCATTAATACTCACTCCTCCTCTCCCATCTTCCCCCTCCCTTCTACTTCCCTCCCTCACCTCCCTTCATCCCATCCCTCCATACCCTCCCGCTGGCATTAATTCCTCCCATTGTTGTTTATCCCATTCCACATATCACCCCTTTCCTTCCTTCTGTTTTCCTTCCTTCCTTCCTTCCTTCCTTCCTTCCTTCCTTCCTCTTATTCCTCCGGGTTACTGATGTGATATAGATTTTTAATTCCTACTTTAGAATTTCTTATGTTCGTGGTGATTGGGTTCTTTTTTTAACATTGAGTGACGATGGAAGGACGTGTTTCAGAAGGTTAAAACATTGTCATTATCGTGATCATCGTCTTCGTCTTCGTCCACCAGTCTATTGTAACCATGGGAACGAGATGGACAAGTCTTTATGTTTGGCTACGAAGTCATCAAATAATATTAAACGAGAGATAGAGAGATAGAGAGGAAGGAAAGAGAGAGAGAGAGAGAGAGAGAGAGAGAGAGAGAGAGAGAGAGAGAGAGAGGAGGTTTCTTAACGTAGGGTAATTTTACTTGCGAACGACGGAGATAACGTGTACTCTAATTTTCACCTTCAGGCTGATAAGGCTCGTGGGTTTGAGGTTGTGGGGGACACGAGGGGGGGGGGGAGGTGAAGGGAGGGAGGGTTACTGTCCGTGGTAATCATTTCCTCTGGTCCGTAGACAAAGGATTCGGGTGGTCCGTACGTCCGTGTCCGGCCTGATTTAGTTGAGATTACTTTCTTTTGTTTGTTATTATTCCCTGGTCCGTAGTTGTACGTTAGTCCTTGGTCCTTAGTGTACTATAATCTATGATCCTCTAATGCGTTTCTCTCTAATACGTTAACCCATTGTCCGTAAAATGTTACTCTGGTCCGTAGTCGTTTATTCCTTGATCCATAATACGTTCCGCACCTCGTCCGTAATGCGTCTGTCTTCAGGGTCCATTGTGCGTACTTCATCCCCTTGCCTGGACATTGTCGCTCCTTGTCCGTGGAGCGTCATCCGCTGGCCCGTCTTGCGTCATACTTGGGTCCGTGGCTCATTAGCAGAGCCCTCTAGTTCGTGTCAGTCATCCATCTTGCCTCCCTAAGGTTCGTGACAAGCCCCCCCCGTCCTCCCAAAAGGTCCATGGTACCCCATCCCCCATCACCTCCCCACTTATGGTCCGTGCCCCCCCCATTCCCCCCTAGTACTGTCCGTGGCAAAAAACCCTCCCCCACCCCCACCCCCCCGTCCCCCTTGATCTGTGGTCCTAATGTACCATAATGTCCGGTGATGTCTCTGCACTCCTCCTCCTCCTCCTCCTCGTCAAGCCGAGGGGCTCCTCCCAGGTCCTTCCAGGGCCTCTCTCTGCCGTGACTAAAGGCCGATAGCCTCAAACACAGGCCCAGCTCGCTCGCAGGGGAGAGTCTCGGGCTAGCCGGCCACAGGGTACCGCGCGACCCTTCGTCGGACCCATAATTCACTCATTATCGGCGGCCCTGGCGGCTTCCTGGCCAGTTAGCTATGATTTTTGTGAACATTAAATAGTGTAGAAGCAAGATAGACCAGAGAAACGCGTGTGAAGGTGAACAAGAGAGCGTAAGGAAGGCTAAGAAGTTTGTTAAGGCGCAGAGGTGCGCGGTGAGACGATAGGCCGGGTGGCTCACCACGGCTAGCTACCTCGTCGATGGCCCCACTCAACTCTGCAACGCCCACGGTAGGCTGACCATAACCCTTACTGCCCTCCACACTCACACACGCTGGCATAGCTGGCTCAACATACTAGCTTGTATTTATAAATCAAAGCATTGATCTTCCTGTAATCCAAAAGTTTTTTACTCCTAGAAGCTGCATTACAATGCAATTGGAAACGCTTTAGCGTAAAGCGTTGTGTATTATACATATATTTTATGATTATTGCTTTGGGTTTCCTTTATTTCAGAGGTAAAATACAAAGATATAATTCCCCCCCATTAACTATCGTCAAAATATGACAAGTTCATATCGGCAGTAAAAGTTGGCGAGATCATCACTCCGACGAAAGTTGGTGTGGACGGACACATACGCTGTCCCCCGTCACTTACCGCGATGATCAGTCTTATACGAGTGTGCGCTAAATCATCAAAGGTTTCGCTTGAAAATATATAATACCGTCTACTTTGATCTTGAAAGTCTCTTCAATTTTTTCCTGATTATTGGAAAAGTTGAAGCGTTGCGTGTGCGCATATTGTATGCATTCCGTGCATTCTGAGTGATAGTGGCAACTGTTGACCATACTCCTGCTTCTACTCCAAATATTGTATCAGTTTCTACACATGCAATCATTGTGGGCTTCATTATGTACATTTAAGTCAGGACTTATAGATTTACTTGGATGGCAATCGTGGATTACTGTTCGATTGCTTACAGTCTCCTTAGTAACTTCTTTAAGGCATTAATCTCCTTCATTATGTCTCACTGTAAGAATAAGCATTTATGTTACTTACGTCGTCATCTAGCATTATGTTAGACTAATTTATTAACTTTATATCGAGTTCTTACGAAAAATATCGGCATTAATACGTTAATATTGCATTAGCATTAAGAAATGTTGACTTGCGTGTTTCGGTGAGCGGGCGCTAGAGGGCAGCACTGGACGGCGGTTTGGGCGGGAACTTTGCGCGGTAAAAATCAATCCCCCCACAAGCAGGGGAGAGGGGGCGGGATCACGCATCAAATATTAGTCACATGGTCACGATAATGCCACAATTATCACCCGAGAATTATATCATCTCTGAGGATTATCTGTTCATCACTTTACCATCATATCATTATACAATTATATAGACGTTTCCCAGACTTTGGCAAGCGGTAAGAGCGTGTAGACCCCCTCTGGTGAAGTAGAAAGTAAAGGCTGGGGCTTGGTGTCCCCGGCGGCATGTAGTAACTTTGGCTGGGATAAAGGTGGCCGCCATTGGGAGGTTGGCGTAGCTGGGCCGGACTCCAGGCCCTTCACTCACACACTCGACGTCGGACCGCGCTGCCACGGTCCCTACCAGCACAGCTAACTCCTCTTTTTAAAACATGTTTCCCAGGACTTGTCTTGTTGTTAGGGTACGGCGCCGGACTGTTACAAGTGGCACGTTAAAGAATACTTCCCTCTGAGACTTAAAGAATGTATAAGTAGGGATGATTACTGCAAAGTCACATGATTAAGTGACGACGTTGTTCCTTCTTCAGTTGTGACTGCAGAGAAGTAAATCTAACTACCTCAAACCTCAGTAAAACCCACCCATTACCACATACGACTCTCCCTGAAAAAGAGTTGTTTACTATCTACACAGCCAACGACATAAAACACACCCTAAAAATTACAATTCATTCTTTACCTATGTATCTATCCGTACCATAAGATAGACCAGTATAGGATAGCTGGCTTCAAGAGGTATATCAGGTCCTATTCTTCACCTCGTGGGTATAGATGAAGGTGAGGAGCTCTTTGGGCCACGACCTTACCTGGGAGAGCAGGTTAGGGAGGGGGGTCCTCGACTCACCTGGTTCTCATCCCTAATTCAAGAGGAAACGACGGTAAAATGAGTTCCACTGGGTACAGGGGCACGGAAGGCCACCCACCCTGGAAATGGAAATAATTCATTTGTGAAAAGAGGAAATACTGCTTGCGAAATGGAAACAATCCACTCTGGTCTTGTCGCTGGAGGTGGACATAAGCCACTTTGGCGATATTACTGGGCGGGGAAATAAACCACTTTGGAAAGATCGCTCACAAGAGACGGAAAAAAAAAGGATCAGTAATTTTTGTTAACAGATCCTTGATGGAATATAGAAAGGGTAAAGAGACACACCTTGTGGGATGGCGGAGAGAAAGGATTTACGAATGAGGTGATCCCACATGAAGAAGAGGTTGAGGAAGCCGCTGTTAACGAAGACATTCTACATCCCCCCCCTCCACCTATTCCTCCTCACTCCTTCATCCCCACCCCTTCACCTCTTCCCCCGCCCCTTCACCCCTTCCCCCCACCCCTCACCCCCCTCCCACAACCCTTCACCCTTTGATGGGATACAGATACCTACTGTTTGAAGAAGCAAATGAAGAGAAGATTTACAAAATACAGAAAATATCCGTAAGGAAAAAAAATAACAAGACGACCATAGAAGATGATGTGTGTAAAACAGTAAATAAAGAAAGGAATAGACATTAATAACAAAAGACATAGTAAAACAAAGACAAATGAATAACAACTTCTGAAGGTGATATTTCTCCCGGTATAATTTTCTTTCAAGAATTATATAGACCACGCTGGTATATCACAAGATGGTTATTTATGGAACTTTACTTAGTTATTTAAGATAAAATAAAAACATGCATACCAAATTTTATATTGATCTATAAAGGCGTTTTCAAGTTATTTAAACGGAAGTGAATTTTCGGGTGGACGGACGGACGGACGGAGGGAGGGAGAAGTGGACGGACGGACGGACGGAGGGAGAAGTGGACAGACGGAGTAACGTTATTCACACACACACACACACACACACACACACACACACACACACACACACACACACACACACTGAACAGAATTATACATTACCCACTAACATCGAATAAATACAAATGAACATCTTTATACGAACTTAATGTATTGTAAATGAATAATAATGAATAATAATAATAAACACCCAAGAAAACACAAATAAATCCGTAACTTTTATTTTTTTTACGAAACTTACGAGAAAAAAAAATCAAAATAATAAAAATACCGATAAATTTAAACACATCAAAAAGTAAATCATTAACACAGTATATAAACATTTAGTTAAATAAACATTAAACATCTACGAACCTTAAGTTAAATTTGATGATGAAAATAAGTTTGTGACATCCTTTTGGTCTTAAGCGCTGCTGTACCTAATCGTTGGGTGGATAATTTTCTTGTTAAACTTGGATTTGTACAGAGGTGGATTACAGGGGTGGATTACAGAGGTGGATTACAGAGGTGGATTACAGGGGTGGCTTACAGAGGTGGCTTACAGAGGTGGATTACAGGGGTGGATTACAGAGACGGGTTACAGGGACGAGTTGCAGAGACGGGTTACAGATGCGAGTTACAGATGCGAGTTAAAAGACGAGTTACAGAGAGGTTACAAGACGGGTTATAGAGAAATGATACAGAGACGAGATGCAGAAAGGTTACTTATACAGGTTACAGAAGCGTTACAGAGAATGATTACAGAGGAGGGTTACAGAGGAGGGTTACAGAGGCGGGTTACAGAGGCGGGTTACAGAGGCGGGTCACAGAGGCGAGTATAATATATAAGAGAGGATGAGACAAAGAAAAAATTATGTCACCCAAAAGCCCTATATAATTTAATGTACTTGAATATTTGCCAATACAGTCAAATTAACAGCGTTATCTTGCAGGTCCCAGCCGGGGAAGCGGCCCAGAATTTTAAAATATCCAACAATTTAAACTTTTTCAACTTTTTTTTTTTCTGTCTGTTAACTATGGAGTAAATTTCAACAAGATTTCGACTGGGGAAAAAAAACGTATTTTCTGAACGTTTAATCGTAAAATAAGAGAAACGTTGTCCAGATTTTGTTTTTCTGTTTCAATTAGTAGTATTACTATGTAGCTGTGTGTACGTGTGTGTGCGCGCGCATGTGTGGGCGAGTACGTGTGTGTGTGTATTGTCTCATAAGTATTGGCTCTCCCTCACTGGTCAGGTGGTCAATGATGCTCAGTCGTACACACACACACACACACACACACACACACACACACACACACACACATTCCCTGTTTAAGGCCAAGTGTCTTCGTCTATTTTACCATAAGAATACATCGATCTATCAGTGATTTATCTGAGAGGTAATAGAGAGACTTCTATCTTGTGTGTGTGTGTGTGTGTGTATGTGCTGCCCCTGCTCCTCCTCCTGTTCCATCAACCTATAGGGTTTTAATCTCTCTCTGTCGAAACTGACGTATGTTTTTGTCTTTTATCTCTCTCTCTCTCTCTCTCTCTCTCTCTCTCTCTCTCTCTCTCTCTCTCTCTCTTGTTTTTCTGCATCGTCTGACTGCGTTAAGCCTCTTGCCTTTCCTTGCTTAAGCCTCTAGAATGCAACATCTTTTTTCAGCCTCTTCCGCGAGATCTGTTAGGTGCGCGGCGCTCTGCAGGTTTTCAAGCGACGTTGTTGACTCGTTGCAAAACATCACGATTTTCTCTCCCCGATATCTTTATTTTTGTGCCTCTTATCGTTTTTTTTTTTATATATCCATGGAGGGAGAGGAGAGGGGAGGTGAGAGGAAGGGGGTGTGTAGAGGGTTTGGGAAAGGAGTTCTAGGGGATCAATATGAGAACTTCCTTTGCTATATAACTTTGAACAGGGTTTTTTATAGTAGGATGAACGTTCCATTTCGTTCACTAAAACAAAAACAAAAAATAAAGACGACTGGAAAGCGGTAAAGATACTAACTAGTGTATGGACCCCCCCTTCCTCCCTCTCCCCCACCATACATCGTTATTGGAATACTCTGCTACCTACCTACCTACCTACCTACCTACACCTGCCTACCTACCTACCTACCTATCTCGTGATGTCCAGTGTTGGCAGAGGAACGATTGAGCAACGACATAGACACAGTGATTGTTGTGATTGTTGTGATTGATTGTTTTTTTGGGGGCGGGTATTTCAGAATGGTTCTTGTTTTAATTGGGTTTAGTGGTTATTTTCTAAACATCTTTGGTTATACAATTTATTAAGAGTTTTGCGTCAATTGGTATTTTCCATGAGGCAGTTCGTGGTGTTCTGTATGTTGACATATTACCTGTTGCTGTGTTTATTTGTTAAATATATGTATAGTTATGTATACTTATGAAGATAGTTATGTCTAGCTATGTATAGTTAATAGGATAGTTATGCACAGTTATGTATAAAGTTACGAAGATCGTTTTAGTATTTTACTGTTGATCAAATATTTTTGTTTAAATAATTTTACCTGTAGAAATGAACACCTGTAAAGTAACACCTAATTGATACTTGTTACCTTGATAGAAGCACCTTGAAACACCTTGATAGTTGAAACACCGTGATAGGAAAAAAATTATAATAACAATAATAATAATGCAGTTTCCTTAAGACGAAACAATTACTTTAGTCTATATCTTGTCTTAATTATTTTAGACTTCCAACAATCAAGTAAATTTCCTAGAGTCATTAAGTGGGAAAATAATAATAATAACAATCAAAACAATATCAGGAAAACCAGGAATAACAAGGAAATTAAACTCGAGAGGAAATAAATAAAAATAGCGAACAAAAAAAGAGAAGATAAAATTGAATTGAAAGAAACGATGATAATTATTGTTGTTTAAAGAAGGATAAAATAAGAGATAGAGAAAATATATTGATGATTATATACAGTAATATTATGATAACAGAAGTAATTAAACTGATGGTGTTCTCCTCGCCAGGTAGATCATGTACTACTCTAAGGGAACAGTCTTCTTATTTCACAACTATTTTCATCTATTATCACATTATCCTTCTCTTCGTTTTGTTATTTATTATTTGGGTTTTTTTTTTCATTCTAATAAGTTATATAATTGATGGATAAGAACTAAGATCCTGAATAGTGTTTGTTTAAAATATGTGTTACGTTCTGTAGTTCTATTTGCCCTGAGAGAATTGGCCAAGGTATAGTTAAGAGTTCTTGTGTTGACGTAATATTTAATACTTAATTCTTTCTATATATCTCTCTATTTCAGTCTCTCTATCTCTCTATATATATCTTTCTCTCTCTATTTTTCTGTCTCTCTCTCTATATATATCTTTCTCTCTCTATTTTTCTGTCTCTCTCTCTCTCTCTCTATATATATATATATCTTTCTAATCTGTAGTTCTACATATTTTTTTTTTCATGTTACATTATTCTACTTATTGGTTTTGTATCCGTGTCATCATTCATCTGTACATTTTACATCATTTCTCTTATCATTCTATCTATCAGTTAGTCTGCTTCGTCTAATCTCTCTCCTTATCATTTTTATTTCTTCTTTATTCCTCTCGGCTTTATCTTCTGTATCTATTTTATTGTGTTTATCTATTTATCTCTCCGTTTGTCTATCAATCAATCACCTGTACTCCACCACACACACACAGGTAAACCTCGGTCAACAAGCGGCACCCTTTTCAACATGGCCAAATGACCCACAAACTAACCTATTCAACTGTTATGCTATTCACACCTCATTCTCTTCTTTTGTGTGTGTATGTATCAATCCTTTCATCTTTCCTTTCGTCCTTTTTTTTATCAGAATGAAGAGATATTTCTTTATTACTTTTCTGGTGATGAACGCGATTGTCCGTCGAGTCATCTTCCCCATCTTGGATTTTTTTTACTTTATTTATTTATTTTTTTTAATTTTCCCAAATCCCTGACAAGTAAAACTCAATTTGGGTTTATTTGGAAACTTGGATCCCCTTAAGAATGATCCCATCAACCGATCACGTTATCGTTCTGCCATCAACCGTATTATGTCTTGTCTGAAAGGTGTTATTACCTGGCTGTGGGGATGTACCTATACCTGCACGAGCGTGGATCCTTGAGGGAGTCTTTTTAAAAGGTTTTTCAACGTGTACACCATGACTAATGTCGGCTGTCAAGCGTGTGTCCTGACGCTCTGACGACAATCATCACCATCACCACCACCGCTGCCTTCTCTATCACTAGCTCCACTACTACCTCCACCACCATCACCACATACTCACCCCCCACCCCTCCCTTTCACACCTCTATCAACTGGTATTAACACCTTTAAGATTATCATATGACTCTATTATATATGTGTGTATGTGTGTGTGTGTTTGTGTGTGTGTGCTTACAGAGGGCGTTGTCGGTGATTGTGTTCAAGGTTTTTTTTGTGTTGTTGCTTCTATGTAATGTCATCGTTGGTTAAAAATAATATTTACAAAAATCGTTGTTGATGTTAAGAATATTTGTTGGTGATGAATGTTAAAACTGTCGTCGATGTTAAATGTTTAAAATCGTTGAGGAGGATAATGTTAAGACGGTGTTGATGATGCAGCTGGCGTTCTTGCTGGCCCGTGTGTCAGTCGTGCCAGCAGCCATGAGCTCTTCCAGGGAGAAGGAACCTGTTACTTTATCTATACAATCAGCAGTAACCTTACCGAGCCTGCCTTGCTGCCATACCGCACCTCGTCCTTCTGCTTGTTTCTGCTGCCGCTCCTGCTGTTGCTGCTTGGTACCAGGAAACCCATACCTTCCCTCCTCCAGGCCCTGACCGCCGTGCTATCGTCTTACCCGCGTTACTCCGTGGTTCTTACCTTACTCTCAAGAGAAATTTACATCGTGGTGGCCGCTCGACTGCCTCCCTCCTGGTGCTGCTCTTGTTGACGTATTACTGTTGTGTGGAGAAGTAGTAAGAATTCCTCTAAAGTCCTCCCCGGTAATGTTCACCTGTCCATCACTCGCCTCCCGTTATGCCTGGGTGCCCTCACACTCCGCCAAGTGTCTCAATAAATTCTTCTTATATATACTAGTACATATTCCATCCTCATGCTGTCTTATCCTTCCACCGTACGTAGGGCTTCCCCATGTGACCTCCTTGCCTCCACCATACATAGGGCTTCCCCATGTGACCTCCTGGCCTCCACCATACATAGGGCTGCCCCTTGCAACATCTTGGCCTCCACCATACTTAGGGCTGCCCTATGGGGTACGGTGGTCGCGGTGGCCGCCCGAGGAGGGGGGCCAGAGGCGGCACATTCCAGCGTTACCTCTGCAGGTAACTTGATCCCGCCCCACCACCCGCTGCTGCTGCTGCTGCCACTGCTTGTTCCGCCTTCATATCTACTCACTGCTTCTATAAACTTGTCTCAACTTAGTTCAATCGTTAAGATGACTTAGTTCATTTGGTTTCAAGACCACCTGCGCTCTAATCTCCATAAACCCGTTCGTTTATTAGTTATGTTTGTCATACACTTGGTTGTAGGATGGAACAGCCAGGCCTCGCGCCATCCTCCAGTATAAACACCCGTAACATAATGAATTAAGTGACGCTCCCGACGGTACAGTTAAGTGAGGAAGAGAGGCTGAGTTTATAACCACCGCGGTTCAAGTCATTGTCACCTCATGATGTGGCCTTAACCCCTGTGTGTGCATCCATCTCATCATTAAAAACTTATATATTACACATGAGAGTACGTTACAGTATGATGAGGCGTCAGTGTGGGCGGGGATGTGGGCGTGGGTGGCAGACACTTGCCGTGGTGTCAGTAACGCTACCCTCAACACCCACTCCGTGTACCACCAGCTAACTCCGCACTCCACAAACACACCAAATATCTCATTCTATATCAATAAACTTTTTAATGAAACTATAATCTCTGAGCGTGTCTTTCACCGTACGAGGAAGGTGTGGACAGTGAGCGGACAAACACCCACACACTTGACCGTCCCAGGCAGTTTGTTTCTGTTTGTTTACGCGCCAGACCCTGATGACAAGTGAGTGACGTCACCGTATGTTGTTCCATGATGCTCAAGTGCTGACGTCATCCGTGTGTGTGCGTGTGTATTTGTCCCATGATGCTCCGCTGCTTACGTCACCGTGTGTGTGTTTGTGTGTGTGTGTGTGTGTGCATTGTCCCAGGATGCTCAGCAGCTGACCTGCTCACAGGTGTTAGGTGACAAGGGATGCTGGCTGGGCTGACTGACTGTGACTGGCTCCGGAGTAACTGTTCTTCCGCCTTAAAACTTTCATGAAACAGTTCACATCCAATTTAAATAAGTTTAAAAAAATTACAGAAGTATCTTTATTGTGTGAATTTCGTCGACAATAGAGAGACGAGAAGCAAAAATGTGTTGGGTTACCTAAAGGTTCCTCCGACCTACTCGTTTCTTTCTTAAAAAAATAAATAAAAGACTTAAAACTGAGGCGTCACCAGGCGGTCATTATGTGTTACTATTGCTTCATCATCACCTCTCCTTCCCTCCCTCCCTCCCTTCCTCCCCCCCTCCCTCCCTCCCTCTCCCCTTCCTTCCCCCCTTCCCTCCGTCCTTCCTTCATCCCTCCCAAGAGCAACCAGTGTACGTGTGTGGGTGTATATGTATATGTATGTATGTGCATGTATTCATACATGTGTGTGTGTATGACGTCTCCGAATAGTGTCAATCTCTGACCTTTAACCTTTGACCTGAGAGAGAGGGAGGGGGAGGAGGAGGTGGCGAGGCACGGTTTTCTCCCAAGTTAACGGGAATTCTTGGTCATTTATAGATAATGTGACCACCGGTAAAAATGACTAACCTGTTTTGTGCTCTTGGCTTTCGTCCTCAACAACCTGACTCTTATATGAAGCTGAGGGAGAGAGAAGGAGGTAGTAGATGTCCGTTCTACCTCACTCCCTCACAAGTACATTCATAGACACCATACGGACTTCCTACGTACACCACGGACATATACATTCCTCTTTCCCGGTTCATGGATGTTTTTATGGATATTTTTAATGGATGTTTTATCGTCATCTTAATGGGTATTTTTAATTGTTTAATATAATTCCCTTCGAACGCCTCTACGGACACATACACACACACACACACACACACACACACACACACACACACACACATTCCCTCCTTTACTAACCTCCCACGGACACCACTTCCCCCAAACTTCTCACGGACGCACGCCACGGACGAGCGATTTCTCATACAGAGGTGAGCGGGTGTTTGGTTTGGTTGGTGTCTCATTCCGTGCGGTCCGTTCAAGGCGGGCTGAGTGACACCTGAGCCGGCTAGAGCCTGGCCCAGAATGCACGGCTCTCTGGCATGCAAGTTGCAACATCCACGTGGTAGGGAGAAGGGAGGGAGAGAGGGGGAGGGAAGAGGTGTAGGGAGGGAATGGTAGGGGAGGAGTAAGGAGAGAGGTGAAGGGGATAGGGAAGGGAGAGGGGGTAGGGAGGAGGTGGTTAGGGGGGAATAGGGAGAGGGGTGAAGGGAGGGATTAGTGCTTAAGAGAAAGTAGCTTAAGAAGGAAGGTGAGGAAGGAAGGAAGGAAGAAGGAAGAGGTGGAGGAAGAAATGAAAGAACTAGAATCTGGAATAAAGAAGAAGGGATGAAAGGGGATGTACATTGAAGAGAAATAGAGAAGGAATAGAAGAAAAATAAGAAGGAAGAAAGCCAGAAACGAGAGGGAAGAGAAGGGGGGAGGTAAGGAAGGGAAGATGATGAGAAGAAAAATATGATGTTGAAAGAGAAGAGGGAAAGAAAGGGGAGAAAGGAAGAAGGTAAAAGTGGAAGGAGGTGAGAGGAAGTGGATGAGAGAGAGAGAAAGAGAAAGAGAGAGAGAGAGAGAGAAAAAAGAGAGAGAGAGAGAGAGAGATTTAAACAAGATAGATAAATGAGAATAACATAGAAAGAGATAAGGTAACCGACGAAGGCACTAATGAAGGATAAAGAGAGAGAGAGAGAGAGAGAGAGAGAGAGAGAGAGAGAGAGAGAGAGAGAGAGAGAGACAAGAAGGGAGAAATGAGATAGAATATTAATGCAAGCAAAACAGTACTTCTGATGCGAATGGGAAGAAGGAACATGGATAAAGCGTAGGAGGGAGACGCAGAAGAGACTTGGAAGACGAAGGAAGGTGACATGTTGATGATGCGGAAGAAGAAGACGGGAATAACAAGAAGGAAGAGTAAAAAGAAGAAGAAGAAGAAGATGAAAACTGATAGAAATTGAAGCTTCTGTTCTTAGACTAATAAAACTATTAAACTTAACAAAAAATCAATAAAAAAAACAGATGAATATTTTTCAGGTGGTCGCAGAGTGAACTAAACTGACAAGGAATGTGAGAAGAAAAGACGTCAGTAAAAATATATTAACCCCGACTCTCTCAGATGACACGTGAAAATTATAAGAATTTTAATCTCATCTCAGCCTCCGAAATTATCATGAGCAGCAGCAGGAGCAACATTCACCACCTCGTTTAAATACGTTCAAAGAAATAAGAGAAGTTTAGTAGTGTAACCGATGGATCTTAAGTTTGTTTATAAAAAATATCAACATTAAAAGTCAACAAAATCACGAGGTAAAGATCTTATATGTAAATAAAATTCGATGTAAAGTCTAAATAGAATCGTAAATTATAATAAGGTTAAATTCTTGTGGGGGTTTTTAAATTTATTCCCCAAAAAGCATTTTCCACATGTGAGATTAAACCAAATAATTAATCATGACTGAAAACAAGTGACGTGTGTGTGTGTGTGTGTGTGTGTGTGTGTGTGTGTGTGTGTGTGTGTGTAAAACATCGATATAAAGGGAAGAATTCACCTAAACATCAATGGAACGTTGGGAAAAATCATAACTTTCCCGTCTGTTTAAAAGCCAAAATCTTGGTACCAAAACAATGTGAGTTTGGTTATCTCATTAGCTAGTAGCCGTGTGATTTAATGGCGAAGTGTACAGGTATTATTGGAAGTACATGAGCGTAGGTGTACAGTCAAAAGAGAATAATATTGATACACACACATATAGCTTATTTCACCTTTAGATTAACCACCCAAATACTAGCCAAATCCAGCCTATCCAAACCAAACCAAACCTAACCTAGAATAACCTAACCTAACCTAACCTAACCTAACCTAACCTAACCTAACCTAACCTAACCTAACCTAACCTAACCTAGCCTAACCTAACCTAACAATCCCATTTCACCTTGTCTGTTATTATTTTTCAAGACTTTACAACAATACACTACGTTATAATTTTGTTACCCTTATGTTAGTTTATATATACACTCCCTAATACGAGTTTCTAGATATCTGTTAACGTATAATAAATCCATAGATTATTGTAGTGGAAAAGTGAGTCGATGTTAAGCGTAGGACACGGCCCACCTCCCGCTTGGCCACACAATGTTTAATTAATTACTCGACCATTTCCCAGATGGCAATGTTTGTTCTCTTATTTTCTTGATAATACACAGCCGCTGAATCACCGCCTCTACCATTCCCTACATGTTTATTAATTATCTCACCTGCTCTTGGGGAAACTACGTGTGTGTGTGTGTGTGTTGCTCTAAACCACGAATGTATGAGGTGTGTGTGTGTGTGTGTGTGTGTGTGTGTGTTGTATATGAATCACTGTATATGGGTAAAAATTTTTGGTGTTTAATGAGGTATTAGATAACATCATATCCTTCATAACAGTTCACACACACACACACACACACACACACACACACACACACACACACACACACACACAC